AAAAATGTCGTGGTGGCCCGGAGGTTTAAGACGCCCACTTCTCATGCATGAGGGTGCGGGTTCGAAACCTACCAACGGCAAGTACCAATGTGACTTTTTCCGAGTTATATGTACTTTCTAAGATTATTTAGACACCACTGACAAACGGTGAAGGAAAAACATCGTGAGGAAACCTGGACTTATAATTTCTAATTATAAGTTTGAAATCGCCAACCCGCATTGAGCAAGCGTGGTGATTAACGCTCTAACCTTCTCCGTGTGAGAAGAGGCTTTGCTCAGCAGTGGGCATTTATAGGCTGTTGATGATGATGATGATGGGCGACGCCTATTGCTTACCATCGTCTGCCCGTTTACCGACTTATCTCATAAAAAAAAATACCGACTTTAAACTGTCAAACACCGCGAGGACACCGGTGACCGCAACCTATTGTTCTTTAATTGTGTCTATAATGACGGTACTCAACGAGTTCAAAAAAGGAGGTTCTCAGGTTGACCAGCACCTGTAGCCAAATGCCATTTAGCGCTTGTATACTTGTAGAGTAGAAAACCAAATTTTATGGAATTGACGTAAATTTTGATACTTGTCAGTGTCATCCCCGTACATTTAGTTTTCTACCCCGACAACACCGTTTTGGAGACTCGGTAAGAAAAAAAAAAATAGTTTTCTACTCTCTCGGTTGACAAGCGCTTTGTTAGCGTTTGGCTAAAGGCACTGTATGGATGTTTGTGCGCGATTATCTAGCTATTGGTTAAACTGATTTTGATGCAGTTTTCAGAAAAGTATTTATTACACTTCAGGTCATGTTTTAGTATAATAATTAACCGACTTCAAAAAGAGGGGTGAAGCCATTTTTTTAAACGTAGTTTATAAAAGAATAGGGCGTGTTGCAATTTAACTCGTTGAGTACCGTCATTATAGAACAATAGGTTGCGGTCACCGGTGACCGCTGGGTGTTTGACAGTTTAATATAAAAAATACGTGTCTAATATTTTTTCATTATCTAACTGACGGACTAATTACATTTTTAATTTTGATACCCTGATACAAACAAACGAAAATAATTGGGTACTACCCAATTGTTTGTTGAAAATGAATAATTCTTTTTGTGTTGGATAGTCCATTTGTCGAGGAAGGTATAGGCGACAAAACATCACGCTACAATCAATAGGCGCCGAGGAGAGCGGGTAAATACGCGCAGTAGTAGCTAGTGTAAAAAATCAACAGTAGGTATTATCTTACTAGTACTGGTGGGTACTTCGCCCTCGCTGAGCGAGTAGTAGTTGGTGGTAGGTGAGCAGTACGACTCCGTGTACGTGGTGGCGGTGGTGGTCGTCTTGTCCTCGCCCGGGGACAGGGCTCTGCCCTTGTCGGGGCTCTTACCTGTAACTGAAAAATCTTATTCATTCATCTACTACACCACGAACGTCACCCTATTGGGACGCAGCAATTGCATATTATTTAGTTAGCTGTTAACTTTAATATAAATATACATAGACGTATCTACAAATAATTATAAAAATTTTAGTCCCGAAACATGTTCCGAGACAAATTCTGTCGAATAAATGCTTTTTCTTTCTATTTCCAGAACTAAAAATTGTTACTTATTTAAGTTACTAATTTTATGGTAAGTAGCAACGCGTGTGACCCGACAGAGTACCTAGTTTCGCACTTACCGTCTTTTTCCAAAGGCAAATCGGAGAGGTAGGACATTTCAAAGTCAGTGTTATCGTAGGAGGCGCTACGTTTTGTTTTGTTGGGCACCGTGTAGGTTTGTTGCTCCGAAAATATAGAGACCCGCCGGGAACATAACTCGTCCTGCACTTGTACACCTGGACAGTATGCGGAGTTACGTGTGAACATACAAACAGTACGGTGGCATAATGTCAAACACAAATAAAATGAAGAACACATCATAAATAATAAGGGCGTGATGCAAGCGGATGCTATTGCTGTCAAAAAGAGTTAAACACCTGATCCTTATTATCTGGACATAGGTTTACAATATCAAACTTCCACGAACGTCCAGCGCGACACTAACATGGTATAGTAATAGTTATTTAGCATGTCAAAATCTATGAGAACTACGAGCCACATTGATGTGGGATTTGTAAAGAGAAAGAAAGTCAAAGGACCTTTGTTGATAGGCAGAGGTAAGCAGTGTCCGTCGACCTGTCCGGGGCAGTGGCAGTCGGGGTCGTAGTCGGCGGCCAGCGGGCGGTAGCAGAGCGTCCCGCTGGTGCGGCGGTACACCGACACGTCGCGCCAGCGCAGCGACCCCGCGCGCTCGCGCAGCATCGACTCTGGACAACCGACATACTTACCGGGACGAAACCTCATTCTGACACTAGGTTTGTTCTGTAAAACCTAGTGGGGAGGTACCTACATCTTTTCGACTATCATACGATAGCTTCACCTAGAGGGTAACCTACTCCTACTAACAAATAAGATCGCCTAATTGGTTCGCTGATTGGCTCTTATCCCTCAACAAATCAGCTTTCAATAAAAAGCAAAATGCTGCAGATGGGACGTGCTGACAAAGTGTATCCAGTAGTTACATTATAACTTACGCAAGTCAGGCGTGGCTTGACTGGCTTGTTCCTTAGTTTCCGTCTTTGCCGGTTCATTTTCGTATTCGCTCTTGTACCCGTCCCCCACGGGGGGCATAATACGGTCACTGAGCATTAGTTCCCTAAAATTCGGTTCTTCCAATATATTTCCACTCTGGTCTTTAGTTCCGGTGGACGGTCGTCTATCTCGCGAGTTCCTCTTGCGTTGTATATTGTTAGACGCCTTGTTGATGGTGTAGGAGTTACGTCGCATGTCGTCCCCCGGCTGGTCAATGAGAGGGACGTCTGGCAACATGATGGGGCCCTCGGTGGTGGCGGTAGTGTTCTTAGCGATTGCCGCACTGTTCACAGTATCAGATTTACTATTTCGTTTTGATTTATCCTTTTTCTTGTCTATAGAGAAGCGACTGAAGATACTTCGTTTCCTCTCCTTATAGTTGTCGGTCGGCAAGGGTCCTGGAATTTGCAAGCTATTGTGGTCGTCGGTTTTTGTAACTTGTTCATTTTTAGTTTCCTTGCCAACACTCGTATTGCCGGAGTCGTTCGTATTTCTCCGTCGTGTCGCACACTCCCTATCGAATGTACAGCTGAAAACAGTTCACGTCGTTCAAAATATTATTTTATGAGCAATTTGAAAATATACTTATTTCCATAAAATGAATGATCAAATAAATAAGTGGTACTCACGCGGCACATTGCTCGCACAGCTCCGGGGTAGAGACCTCCGTGGCTTCATTAGTAGTGGCCTGGTTGGCGACCAGTGCCTCCGTCATGGGCAGCTTCAGTCGGTTAGAGTACTCAGTCTCCGAGCCGTCGTACAGTTTCACCGCGTTACCTCTCTCCCGGACATTGTTCGTTGCCAACTTTGAATGCATGATCACGCCTATGTCCGGGTTGCTGGCCAGGCTGCCTGCCATGGACACTGACGCATTTAAGTATCGGTTGTCCGCGGTCAATTTATCAGCCTGCTTTTCTTCAATGGCGCGGCTCTGTTCACTCTGTTGGGCAGTGTCCTTGAATTTAAACCCATCCTGTACCGGCTGCATCTTAATTGGACCATTAGTCTCCGTGGCCTGAGTGCTCTTCAGTTTGTCTTCCACCATTTCTGTTTTGTTTAGTCCAGTCTGAACGTTTTGGGTACTGGACACCAGTGTAAGTGGCCCTGCTTTCAGCACTTTCAGTTTGGGGTCAGTCTGTGTGTGTGAGTCCGTGTCGGGCCTGTATTGAGTGACGACGCTGACGTTGTCCGGCAAGGTGTTGGATTTATTATCTTCAGGTAGTTGTGTGACCGCCGCAGCGTAGTTTCGGTTGTGTCTGTTAGTCTCGCTCATCTCTACGGTCTCTTGGTATTGTTTTTGTTTCGTAGATCTGGTCGAATCAACTTTTACCGACGTCTGAGTTATGTTCTGCAACGGGACTTGTCTGTCGTAGTCAATATTTTCTACTCTCGTCGGTCGTTCCGTTCTTGTGGACTGTTGATTTAAATTACACCATCAATGTGCTAAACCATGAGATATTCAATAAACACAGCATAGTACATAGAACAGTTACACTTACAGCAGACGTGACATTAGGAGTTTTTGGAGCAGGTAATGTTTCACCAAGTTTTTTCTTATTTTCTAACATGTTGCTTTCCTAGAATACATAATTATATTGTAGCAGCTTATAACTACTGCTAAATTTAAAAAAAAATACTGAGAGTGATACTTCATGTTGTATTAAATAGCTACAGTCACGACTTTATTTTCTTCATAGATTATTAACAATTCATTTTTAAATAAATTACATTATTGCATATAGACAATTAATATAGTATTACCTGAGCTCTTCTCAAGGATGCCACTTCACTCTGCAGTTCCAGTACTTTAGCTAACAACTGTTTATTTAGTTTATGTATACCCTGGAAAGAGTTTCGTATTATGGACACTGACACGAAACTATAATGTTAAATGTTAAAAAAAATAAGTAATGTAAACAAATACAAGTTTGTTATTATCTTTCTTTCTGTTATTGTTTACAATCGTGTCTGTGAGTGAAGGTATACTGACCAGTTCATCAGTATCCTGGCTTCTGTTGGACTCCACGTATCCTGAATCATCGGATGCTTTAGTAGTGGGTTCATTCAGTCTGCGAGGGGACACCGCGGTGTCGCCCGCGGTGGTGGTCACGGTAGCGGTGGTGGTGGTAGTGGTGGTGGTAGTGGTGGTGGTAGCGGTGGTGTTGGTGGTGGTGGTGGTGTTAGTTGTGGCAGTCGTAGCAGTGGTGGGGACTACATTCTGAAAAACTATTCAGTTTTACCAACCGACATACTGAGAGTAGAATAAGTTTTTTATGTGGTTCCTATTTTCTAACTGCCGATTTCAATAACCGATTTCAATACAAAATCTCTAAGCACCAAGAGATTGATTTTTGCCAGTAGTTCTATAGATTTTTTGTCAAAAATTGAGATGTTTTTTTTATATTTGTTGCGTCGACTGGCATCTACTTCGCCTGGTGGTAAGCGATTATGCAGTCTGTGATGGAGCACGTCAACCCATAAGCAACCTTTTCACTCGGGCCTTGAAAACACCCAGGTATACCCTTCAGGAAACACAGACTGGTAAAGAATTCCACGCCCTGATTTTTTAAATTTTGGGTTTAAGATTGGTTATTAAAACCAGCAGTAAATAATTTTGTTGCGGTTCATTAAGTTTCTTTTTCTTTTTTTTTTCATTACCATAGATTCCAGCTTACATAACAGTAGCTGCTAAAGTTTTTACAGACACACTAGCTTCTGCCCGCGAATTCGTACACGCAAGCCCGTATTTTCCCATTCCCGTCAGATTTTTAGGTAATCCTTCAATAAAATCCTATGTTGTTTCCTAGTTCCAAGCTACCTCCCCACCAATTTACAGCCAAATCGATTTAGCCGTTCTGGAGTTATAAATAGTACAACTAACACGACTTTCTTTTATATATATAAGATACTTTAGCTATAGACTCCATGACGCGGACGTCGAGCTCTTTGTAGCAGCACTTCCTGCACCGCGAGTCCTCCTGCAACAACAGTAACGACGTCATGCCAGCACTAGGTCGCATCGCGTTCATACTGAACAACGTTACAATTACACCATCTACAATAATATTGTACTTACATACTACAACAACATTATATTATACTAAAACCTAAAATACAAATCCAAGTCATTTCCATCTTATTTTTTTGTTTTGGAAACTGAAACACATATGATATACCTACGAAAAAGTATACTTTAGTACAAATAATATAAGGCTCATACTTCTAGGAGTTCCATAGCTTTCTGCCAAGCTTTACATCTGCATTCTATGTTTTTGGTTTTCTGAAATGAAATGCATGTGATGTATGAAATGTACCGCATATTCGAACCGAACTACCTATCTTTTGGGGGAATGGCGTGATATTATGTTGAAAACCCAACAATACAATAATCTTTAAAATGTGGGAGAGCCATGCTTAAGTACAAATGAGCCGGCTCGACCGGTGTGATACCATGGTCTCACTGAAAACCGCCGACGTGTGAGGTTACTGGACCATAGTCGACCTCTAAATTCCTAAACATCAAATTCCTAATCCCCTGAAAATTCCAGTGTGGCAGATGTCCATGGGCGACGCCGATTGCTTACGATCATGTGATCTGCACGTTTGCCCGCCTATACCATAAAAATACCCCCGCCATAAAGTTTGCTACGCGTTCTGATCGAAATAAAGTATTTGATTCTATATTGAACTTGGGGTAGAATAGAAAGTTGAACTAAAATGCATACTTTGTCTGGATTGGATGTATCTTGTGGGGGGTGACAGGCACATATAGCATACTTGGTGCCGTTGGCATCACCCTGCAACATATCGTGGATACCATGTAGGACCAGGCGGATGCAAGTACTCCACTGTATTACAAAAGGAAAAACTACAACAGATCACGCTATTCTTAATTAACAAATTTATGTAATAGATTTTCGACTTTAACACATTTTTAAGGACTAGAATCTATTAGAGAAAGAGTTAGAGTTTTGCTATATTAAACAAAACAGCATCTTTTTCACTCTCAATATGACATCCTAATATAATGGGAAGGTTAATTAAAAAAAGGGACAAGATTCTTAATGTTTAACAGAAATCGAAGTATGGGTTAGTAACAGCAGTAGATGATTAAATCATACTTTAGTAGCAGAAGTAGAGGAAGCACCCGCAAGGTCTGCTTCCAACATTTGGTTTGATGTACAGTCACAATCGTGAGGCTTCGACTCCTGTAAATTAAAGTTTTCCGTACAAGAAAACTTGTCTTACGCGTTTATGTTTTAAAGACTAAATAATTACATACTACAAACTAGCATTTTGTCACGATCATATTTGTAACTACATACATATGAGATTTAGGTATTTCCTATACATCTAATTTTAAATTGATTGATTCTGTTTGACTCTGGAGGAATTTATCTACGCTCCTACGCGCTACGAAATGAAAAGTAACCACACTAGTTCCTATAAAGTTTTGTAATAGTAATAGTGAGTGACGTACTTTAGTAACTGATTCACGTGCTGCAGTATTGGGTTTATCGTCGATTATTTCTATACACTGACAAGTAGGTTTTGATGAATTGTCGGCCGTTTCTTGGGTATCGCGTGTAGGGGAGCCAGTGCCATCGGTGGTAGCCGTCTTGGTGGCAATGATAGGGATATTGTCATCGGTGGTAGCATTAGTAGGGATATTGTCATCGGTGGTAGCGCTGGTAGGGATATAGTCTTTGGTGGTGGCGGTTTCGGTGGCCTGGGTAGGAATATTGTCATCAGTGGTGGCAGTCCTGGTGACATCGGTGGTCATATTGTCATCAGTGACCACATTAGAAGAGATATTGGCATCAGTGGTAGTGGTTTCATTGGTTGTGGCTTTGGCATCAGTGATTTCAGTGGTGGTAGCAGTAGCCTGAGGAACATTAGGGATGGCGACTACGGGGGTGCCTTTAGGGGTAGCCTTGGTAGTGCCATTAGTCGTAGATTTGGTGATACCATTAGTGGTTGATTTGTTGGTACCATTCGTGGTAGACCTGGTGATGCCATTAGCGGTAGATTTGGTAGTGCCATTAGTAACACTTTTTGTAGTACTGTTAGGTATAGTTTTGAAAGTAGAACTAGCCATAGTTCTGGACATGGCACCGCTGGTAGCCCTCGTTATGCCTTTTTTCGTGGTGCCATTGGAAGTTCTATGGGGGAAATTGGTGATTCCACTTATATTGCTTTTAGGAGTGCCATTGGTGGCAGATTTGGTAGTGCCATTAGTTTCCTGTAGATAAAGATATAATCTTAAAAATGTATTTTATACGCAACTAGATATCTGCTTTGGCATATGAATCACTGCACAGCCATTTTATTATCTCTTTAATCGCGGCGCGGTAAAGCAGTGGCTATCTTTTCAATGCACAATTTAATAGACATTTACTTAATCAGTCCATTATTTTCAATTATTAATTACTCACACCATACACTACATATAGATAATAATTATGAGAATATTAATGTACTCACGTTAATACTAGAGAGACGGTCCTCTATAGTCCTGTTGACCTTGTCCGACATGTTGGCGGCTTTCAGCTGGGTCTCTAGTTCAGCCACCCTCCGCCTCTCTACTACTAGTTGCGCTTCCAGTTCCGCTACAGAATATACAGCTTAATGTAGTTTACTATAGTGTTTTAAACTTAAGACTTGCACTAATTCGAATCGAACAATAATAATAATTATGTAAAATTACAAGATGAGTATCATAATTATCCACTAACTAAAGGATTACGCAGTAGGCACAGTTCTCCAATCCGCCTACTCAGTGTAGAGATTGTGGCAAACCGTCATCCATTTAAAAGGGAAAGTCAGCAATAAACAAGACATACCGCATCTAGCCTCAGCAGTCCTATACTCGGCCAGGACCTCTCCGTTCTTCTGCAGCGAGGTCTCGAGCTGGTGCAGGCTGGCGGTGCGCTCGCCGGACACGCGCACGTTCTCGCGCCGCACGTCCAGCACCTCCGTCTCCAGGCGGCTCAGTCGCGCGGAGTAGTCCTCGTGGACCATGTTTAGCTCCTGCATGTAGGAGGGATGGTAAAATTACCATAAGACACTGGTGTTACAAAGTTAGAATGATGAGGAATTCGAAATAGATAACTCTCTAGCATGTCATACAAAACCGCCAATGGCTATGACCAATATGTTCTATATTCTATGACAAATGATAAGGGTACTTACTCAGGATGGTCGCATAAAACTGTACACGTTAGGTTAAATTAAGCCAAATTTATAACTAAAGAAAATAAAGAACTATGCTATGAATCTAAATGCTGAATTATTTCTTACCTCTTGTAAATTAGCAATTTTCATTTTCAACTCTTGCATGGTAGTTTTACATTTGTTTTCGTCACATGTTAATTGGGAGCACCCCCTGAAACATCACCATGATGATACCACATACACATATCTACTTATTTTGTAGATAAGACATTGTTTTTTTCATTAGATACCTTGTTGAAAGCGAAACTGCAAATCGATAAGGGTAATTGAGTCAAGCAAATCAAAAAGTGGTTGTTACATAAATATGTGCACATCGATTGTTTTAGGAATACTAAGACATCATGCAATTTCGTAAAAAAACATAGGCTCATGAACATATCGTTTAAATCTTACTTGTTGTTAGGGTCGTCTTCTGTTTGCACGGAATTCGGACTCATTGGGCTATAAATAAAAAATAATGACAAGTTAGCATTAATGATGGTGATGATGATGGCGGATATGTCAATGATGGTGACGGTAACGACGATGTTGATTATGGTAACTAAGGTGTTTGTGGTGTTGTTAGTGATGAATTAATTTATAATTAGCTTAGTGATGTACCTACCTATCCTCACATTGCATGGAGGTGGTCAACTTGGGAACCGTTTCACTGGACCGTTCATTGTTTCTGTGAAATGTTTTATCTTTTATGTACCTAATTAGACTAATTTGGAAAAGGAAAATAAATCTGTAGAAAAATATTTTATTAGACGGCCTACCTGAATAAATGTATTATGACGAAATTAGATATTTTTAGGCATTAGCATATCAGGTTCAGATGAAGAACCCCTACAGAGTAATAAATACTAATTGCTTATACCTATATGATATTTGCTAAAGATAATATGATAAACAAATAAAAACTTGCTTCTTGCATCCAATAATCCAATCAAAGTACTTTATAAATAAGTAAAGGATTTACCTCCTCATCATTGGTGCGCCGGTGGTGACAGTAGCACAGCGCACACACCTGGACGTGGAAGCTTGTGACGGAGACTTCCTGTGGAACTGTTTCGCTGAGCACAACCTCATGTTCAGCTGCTGTAATTTATCTGACAGCTTCTGGTTGGCACGTCTCAATTCTGTTATACTGGAACAAACAAGAACAACAATTGTATAAAAAAAATAATTCACATTACCAGTTATATAACATATTCTATACACCTTCCACACACTTCATACTACATGTGTATCATAACGATGTAGTAGAAAGTGTTCTCAATGTCAAGAAAATTGGCAGTCCTATGGTACATACCTAGTTTACCTAACTTGGGAATCGGACCCGTTGATTAGGAGACCATTGAAGTATTTAAAGTTTAAAGTACTAATTCTTATAATTGTTTATAGCAAACTTAAGACCATTTTCAAGTTTTTAACACTGACTTGTTAGGTTCTCCTACATTGTTTTCTGGACTTTAAAAGGGACTGACTGAATAATTAGTAAATGGCTAAAATAAAAATTTGCGCCTAGTAATATTCTTAGAGCAACATCATACATGTCCATAATTTGCTATTAAGAATGTATCATTAAATTATACCAAACCAAAAATTACACATTTTCAAATTAATCCTTAACTAAAAGTAGTTAATTTTAATTTTAATTTTAGGTATCATTAGCAGATAATATTACTTGAATACTATAAAACTATAAATATAATAAGAGATTATGTACTTTTTAAAAAAGAAAGAAAGACATAGTTAGAGATGAACAACTCAAAAGCATACTTTAATTAATTGAATTAAACTGTCAAACACCAAGCGGTCACCGGTGACCGCAACCTATTGTTCTATAATTGTGTCTACAAAACCGGTAGTCGACCAGTTAATTATAAGAGTCACTTTATGGGATTGTTTATTTTTACTTGAAAAACATAAATAAAAAAATACTAACGACTCTCGTTGCTCATTGATGACAAACTTGCTGCCGACACAGCAGTCCTTGAACTCCTTACCCTGCAGCAGCCTCTGCGCGGTGGTCATCCGCTGCACCTTCGTTGACAACCCTTTGATCGTATCATGCTGTCCGTTCACAGTGCGTTTCAATTCCAAATTGTTCTCAAGAAGAGAAAAGTATAAATCTTCTAATTCACGTTTGCTTAATTTTGATGGACATATTCTATAGATTTCTGCAAGTAGGTAATTGTATTCTTTTAACCCGTTGAAATCCATTCCCTAAATTTGGTCATACAAAAGTAGTCTCTAAACATTAGAAATAAGGTCTATAATGTAATGTAATATTAGTGGAAAGCGGTCACCGGTGACCGCTTAGGGATTTATGGGTTAAGTAATTTAATAAGTCAGCATTTACCCACTTCATTTGCATATAATTCTAAATAGATCTATGTCTCAGTTAATGTCTGGGTGTCACTGTGTATGTGAACTTGTGTTTGTAAACGCACCCACGACACAGGAGAAAATCCTAGTGCGGGGCAACTTTTTTTTTTTTTTTAAAAATACCTATACCTAGCATTGTGTACTGAAAAAAAGATTGTACTATAAAACGATTCAGTGTGTAGGTACCTAAGTACTCTTATAAGAAAATTATTTAGGATAGAAAATATTTATACTTAAAATAAATATTTCTCTATGAACGGACTTTGAAACTAATTAATCACAGGATACTGTGATAACAGCAAATAACTTTTTATAACACTGAATGCAATCAAACTACCGGTAATGAGCACGCCAAAACAGACTTTATAGGCTGTTTATAAGAAAGTACAAACCTCGATCCGACCTGGCAGAGTGGCTTTTACATACGTTATTATAATCATTTCTATTGAGATTCTCTTTACTGTAACAACTCATGATGATAACTTGCACTTTAACGAAATCACAAACAAAAACTAAAATACTATAACAGCCATGTAATTTTGATTTATTTATCCCAACATCTCAGAATATTATGATGTCCACCTGCATTCACATGTTCACACAAATAATATCTACGCCACATAATTTTAGCTCAACAAGATGTTTAATTATTGTAATTTCACATCAACATCAATGCAAAACTGTTTGCCGATAAAATGAAAAGACCGCCATAGCAACTCATGCGGAAATGTCAACAAAGCAACTGTCAGTTCATAGACAACAAAATTAGAAGAAAATATACTTTCGTGAGTCACGATAGAGTATGAATTAACTTGTTTACAGCGCCATCTATAGTCCATCTGTTTAGGTAATTAACTAAAGGTAAACAAACAAAACCACGTGACACAGAGATACTTAACCTTCTATTACTTCAAATATTTCTCGTGTTTTAATTTAAACTAAATTCACTTTAACATCGTTCATTTGTCACACACACATACAAGCACAAATGCCTAAATCGTACAAGAGCCTAGCCTATGGGTCTATTTCATTATCATGTTTAAATAGAAACTATTCTGAATCTGATGTACGGATTTCTTTCTTGTACGGATATGTGTCTTTGGGCCAAGTTTCTTCAATATATTTGAACACAATAATTACAAACGATGAATAACCTAAACTTAAATAACGTAATAACAAAAACAAAACAAAAACAAGATAAATTCAACAAAATAGGAACGCGAGCGCAAACGACGAGAGAGCTGTCAATGGCGCCTGATTAACCGACTAAACGTAATACACGCTACTTTCATTGTCGCGCTACATCTTAATTGTACTCTTCAATTTGACAACATTATCTAATGCTTCGTTCATAAAGAAAGGTTTTGGATACCTGGGATTTTAGGCTCTTTATGGTGTCTATTGTAATGAAATAATATATTATTTAATAAAAAATGTTATTAAATTATTATGCTCAAGCGATATATATAATATTTACTAAGAAATAAGTGAAAAGGAACAGAAACATAACATTTAATAGAGAAAACTGTCGTAAAAACGGAAACAATTTTATTTTCTTATGAAGTATTTTGAGTCATGGAAATGTCAACTATAAAGAACTCTTTTTATGGTTTGTTTACAAATAGTTAACTACCTAAACAGACGGAGTATAGTTAATACCAAGTAAAGACATAGAGTAGCTGGTTGGCTGGTAATACCTCTACAAAATAAGGAGCAGGCTGGAAGAAGTTTGCTTTCCAAAATGTTGGCACCTCTCTAAACATACTTAATACACTCTTTGCTCTAAACCTTACGCCCAAAGCGCTTGCCTAGTTTGCCTTAGAAATAATACGGACCTGCCTTAAAAAGATGGTGTAGCAAAGACTACTACTGTGATCGGGCCAACAATGGAATACACCCAGCACACGGGTTGTTTATAGGAGTATGTACTCAGGACTTAGACACTGGTCGTCCTTATCTACCCTCTCCAAAATACACATTTATAGGTGGTAGATTGGTAGGTACCTGCTTAGGTATGTACCAAGGTACTATTTATTTGCATTTTATAGGCAAGTACTTGAAATAAAATAAATAACTAGGTAATCCATCAACAGATTTTATTTAACAATTATTATTTAACATTATAACACATCGATTAGGTTCTACATACTTTACTTATAAAAACACATAGATATTGGAATGACAGTACAACGGTAAGTAGTAGGCAAGCAATACAACCGAAGCATAGGCCAAAGTATTCTAATTTAACTTCTTATGTAAAATTAATACATTTGATAAATTGCATTTTCCAAAAATAGCCCAGGAGCTCTCAATAGAGTAGGCATTACCTATTAGTTTATATTTGTTACTTTGTAAGTTTATTGTCATTCTTTCGTTGATTGATTCCCAGGTTTTAGGGAAATGTTTTACATTCCATTAAACTATGTTTAGATAGGTGTATAGGTACGGGAAAATCGAAAAATCTCATCATGTGAATGCTGAAGGCAGCCTTAGCCATTAAAGATATAAATATTAATAATGATTGTAAGGCCTAAATAAATGTTTTATTCTTCAAAAAGCCATCAACTAGGTCGACAACAACAAAAGCATATTTAATTGCAATTAATACAGGATCACGAATACCTACTTACAAATTACAACACAACTTTATATAATCGTACTTCTTAACTTAGAATTATAAAATTACCATTAAATTATTTAATACTGGGTAACTCACAACGTGATCACATACCTACTATCACGTACTACACATAAACATGTTGGCACGCAGACATACACGTAGGATTGTATTGGAAAGCAAGTACCGACACTCTCCACAGATAATGCAAAGACTATTAATGACATGTGATATTTGAGGCAGGCCTCATGATGTGATGTGACGAAACTTCGTCTCAAGCATCACTAGCTAACTAAATAGGTAGATAAGTTATATCTAAGTGTGTAATAGAATTCCATCAGTAAGTGAATGTCATTTTTTTAATTGTTGAGCAAAAAGTGGATGATCTTTTACATAATTCAATAGAATGCCTGCAGCGGGAAGTGTTTAGGTACTTGCTTAACAAAACAAATATAGATACACAAACCTTAACAATCGCCTAATTTGTTTTTATAATAACTATCGTGAGACATACTAAATTAAGTAAAAACGCGGGTTACTCACGTGAATATACTGAGAAAAGCTCTACTAGTTTCGAACCACAGAGGGGTTCTTCCTCATGAGCAGCGTGCGCGGTCGCGGCGACGTCGCGCAGCTCATGAGGAAGAACCCCTCTGTGGTTCGAAACTAGTAGAGCTTTTCTCAGTATATTCACGTGAGTAACCCGCGTTTTTACTTAATCGCCTAATTTATAACTTACTAGTTTAATTTTAACACGTAGAGATTACACAAAAAGCCAAAACAATCCTTAATAGATCACAAATAGGATTTAAAATCCCAAAATAATTTATTTTAAAATACACTAACGGCAGAGTGATGAGCTACTTTCTTTTAATTACAAAACCTTGTTGTCTACAATTCTCTAGGAACAGACTACCTGCTCATACTCTGCTTATACATACTAACTTAAAATCATAATTATTTATTTCTATATAATTTTATATATGATATAAAGTTCTAAATGCACATAGATTTTTTTATTAGATGGCCTTTAGGCCGAAAATTTTAGGATTTTATTTGTAGGTATTTGGGGCACTGACATAAATCTGTTCTGCCTCTTCATAGACAGCCCAATGTGCAAGATGTAAGTATTATTTAGGGCGTTTTGAGTTTATTCTAATTATTTTGCACATATTTTTACGAGTACATAGGTAGGTACGCAATGTTTAGAATTTTGTAGAATATTTAAGCATATTGAAAACTCCTACATCATACAATTTATATATAGGTAGGTATATGTATCCTTGATTTAGCTACGTCCACAATATAATGTATGTATTTAAAATATTTGTCTCAATTTCATCCAAAAAGTTAGTTTTCATAAATATTCAATCAATCTACAACATCAATATATCATTCCGAAGATACGTCACAATCTATTCTAGTTGGTGGCAAAAACTACCGTATAGATACAGTCACACAATTATTGTCGTGATTTCAAGTTCTAGCTCTATATTATAATCCTAGGAGCTACACGTTTCTTTCAAAATATTTGCTAGGTCATTTTAAAATAATGTCGGAGTGTATTCATTGGATGCACATCGCTGTTCCTCCGTGAGGCAAACATTCGTTCGATTAACTGCTTTGTTATCGAGACCTCTTCATTAAAATTACGTTAAAATATGTCGGTACACCTTACAGACCTAAAGATAAATCACATATAAATAATATTTAATTCATTTAAAAGGAACTTTCAGTGAAATAAATACAGCACTAAAATCAATAATAAAAAATAAATACTTAGACATTTCACAAGCCACTTCCTTTAAAATTCTCTAATTCTGCCTTATGCAGTCGAAGCTGCCGAGCTTACCTAATAGTAGGGGAGCCCACGATGCTAAATTGGGATTTACTTGAGCGTCCTTGGGACCTACTGGATTTTGAAGATATGCTGATAGAAAGAAGAAATGGTTTAGTGACAATTTCTTCCACCAGTGGGGGAAGGGGCAATCTACAGATCTTTGAAATTGTTAAGCGTAACTTTTGTTCTAATGGTCGAGCGTGTCAGATATTGATAATGTACATGCTCCATGTGTATTTAATAATAAAAAACTCTTAATCTGCCAGTTTGCATGGTGGGGTTGAATGTTCTGGAGAGTACAAACAAGAACCCTTCAAAATCCCCCCACTCTTGCAAATCAAGTTGGAATGGGCAGATTTTTTAAACGCACTTCCTTTTGCACGGTATTGACCTACCTTCCCTTAATCTGACGAAACTGACTTTATTTAGTCAGACTTTTTTTTTAATTTTCAGTCCCCCCCTTCTGATCAGATCGGATATATGTTGGGTATATTCAACATGACACTAGGTTTTCCCCATATGTTAATCTGACGCGCTCGAGTAACTACCGAAATCCCTTCATGGGCTCCCCTACTATAAAGTCTACAGAATTTGACACTTGGATAATAGTGGTCTCACTAAAAGGCATTTCAATTATAATAAATAATTTCAATAGGTACCTATTAGGCTACTAAAATATTAATTAAAAATCTCTGCAAATTATTGCCGTATACGTTTATCCATTTATTCCTCTCTAGAATTCGCCTCAGAATGAGTCCAAACAAGATGATAACGATAAATTCACAGCCTAAGCACCACTAACATAAGTATAATACGTAAACTTATCAGTAATAAATAATAATATTATAGTGAGATAATGTATCGCTGCTAACAATATATTATAATTTATATAGGCCCGACTTAAACTGAGTGCAGTTACGTCACAGCTTGAGTCCAACTCGCAGAGAATTTACAAATAATTAAAAACGTAAAGCTGGCTGCATACAATACAAGAATTTTATAAAATAATGCATTATTTGAGAATACTTTTGGAATGTCAATTAATATGAATACGTTGATCGATTCACTCCTTGGCGTTGTTCTGAGCGGCCTGTCGCCTCAGATCGGATCGGATGGCTGCCGTGATGGCAGTGCCTAGAGCCAGCAGTCCACAGAGGGTGAGGTTCGACCAGCGATCTCCGACTGTGCCCAGCATCCATTCATACAGCAGGGTAGTCACAATACCGAAGATCTGTAATGAGGATAATATGAAGTAAACAAATGGTGAACCTTGATGAGGAGGTGGCTTACTGTGGCGAGAATTTACGAAGACATGAAATAAATATAGGAGCTGTATTACCTGAACTACAGCGTTCAGTATTCCTGAAGTGGTGCCTTCAGGCTCGGGGTAGGTCACCTCTGAAGCAAATTCGAAGCCCACAGGTAAGTAGCCAGTCATGAAGAACCTAGAAACAGAAAACAATGTTAACTTTATATTAATAATACAGGATAATTGGTTTATCATATCTTAAATAGCGTGCTCCAATTGGATATCGCCGGAGTGAATGTCTAAGTATTTTGATGTGGAAAACCAATCTATAAATACTGACCCAAGTAAAATGCTGCTGAGATAGACCACGGCGATGTATCCGCAGTCGAGCGTGAAGGTGAAGATGAGCATGCCGACGACGGAGGCGGCGTACACCGAGAGCGTGGTCTCCTTGAAGCGGTGCGTCTTGTCCAGCACCAGCCCGCACACCACCGACCCTGCCATGCCGGCCACCACGATCACCAGACCAATGCGACCCGCGTCTACGTTTGCTCCCTGGAAGAAAGACATAAAATAATGTAAAAATATTTACAAAAATAACGAAACTGCACCATAGTTTATTCAACATCAGCTTCAGCAGCCATGCATTTTTAAAATAATACTCCTCTACAGTAGCTGATAGCCCGGTTATGCATTTTTGTAAAACCTCTGGTTTTGTAGATGTCCAAAGGCGGCAATTGATTATAACTAGATGGTCACCTCATTTGCCCCCTATGCCATATAACAAATGAACAGCACGACCCTTACCGGATAATAAGTGAGTATGACTTGGTTGAGCAGAGTCGAGATAGCGTAGAAGGTTCCTACGTTGAGACCGTATGAGATGAGGAGCAGCACATAGTTGCGGTTCGTGATCAGTTTCTTCAGGGACAGTAGGAAGTTCGAGTCCAGACTGTTGCCAAGATCTGCAGCGGCTGATGGTGGCGAGGGGGGAGCGGCCTTGAAGACTGGAAAAACACATTATTAATACTTTGATGAAATACGTAATAAAATATTATCAATAGTCCAAATGGGAATTGTTATATTTGTTTATTTAGGTAGGATACCTTTATCCTGCCTTACTTGTTGAGTAATGAGTATGTCTGCGTCACAGTTTACGTCAAAAAGGGTACCTACGTAGGGTACGCGTCACAAATGCCTAATGTAAAAAGGTAAACGTAAACACCTATGAATGTTAATGATGAAGGAAAGAAAAACCCGAGACGCCACAATGACGTGTCAATAAACCCATTCAGTTGGGTTTATTCGAATAAATTACTAAATAATCGTTTTTACTAATTCGTGTTAATAATATGATGAAGACTAGATACTCATTCATCAGTCTAAACTAGAACTTGTGTTTTAATTGATGTTCCTATTAACCTTCCTGGCATACCTACTGGAACTGAACTCTTCTTAGCTTAGATTTCCGTAAGTGTTAACCCTTATTTCATAACATGGCCTTTGCAATTTAGGTAGGTACTTACCTATGTAGTGCAAAATGAAGTACAAGAAAAGGTGATCATGAAATAAACTTTAAATCAGTTTAAATGTGCACAGTCCTCATTGTATTGAACGAGTTATAAGTCACGAAGTTAAACCAGGAACTTGCATCAGTTAGTTGTTCTTACAACGAAGTTACTTGCTCTCGTTACAAACTGTCATCGTTTATGAGTTACACACAGTTTAACTGCAAACTGTTATCTCCTGGTTCAACAACTTTTAAGTGCTTCCCGTGTTAATAACGAGGGAATTACGCTGCACTTCAAGAAATGCTACCCAGCAATTTCTTCATTTGTACGCGCGGTTGGCGTTAAAAGAAATAAGTTTAAGAAAATAGTGATGGGTTTCAGATTTATCAGTTAGTAGAAAGTGTTGGTGACTCTCAATATAATAATACACTTCATAGATAACAATGTCGTTCTTTTCGACAAGAAGTTAATAATTTTAGAGACCTATTTATCTCCGGTTCTATAATTGCACCATCACATCTAATCTAATAAAGCCTCGAAACGATCGAAATCTAAAAACAAAATCCATGTAAATAAATATCTGTTGGTAATTACATCACACAGGTTAGTATTTCGCTGTGTGTAGGGAGTTACCTATCGAGCAGTTTGTACAATATGTAGCCATTTGCAAATACATATCCCATTATGAGACTCTCGTAAATTAGGTAGAGTATCTCTTCAAGTGTACAGGTGTGCACGAATAAAACCTTTTTTATTACTTAAACTCGTTTAACAATTCAGTCTAATGAAGTACAGATGTCGTGTTGATATTGGTATGCGTATTGATATGTCAAAATAACTCCTAACAAAGTTGCTACGAAACAACAATTTGAGCTAGGTAGGTATCTACTTATGCTTAATTGCCTAGGATCAAAAATATGTGTGAGTGAGTGCCTAACCTAAATAAATACTAGTTAGACGCTAGTTATCAGATTAATCGATATTATATTGAGTGGCTCGTTTATCGAGTGACGGCAACCTGTGGTCGCTATGCTATTATATCAAACCAGCAGTTTTTGGGTTTTGTCAATTATTCCTTTGAAATTATGTTCGTTATTTTGTAATTCTGGTAAGATAGGTTCTCTAACCTAGCAAACATTGTAAATGATTAGTGTATGACCATTTAAGTAACTACTTAACTAGGTACCTACATAATATTGAGTTTAATAACAAAAAAAAAGAAATTAAGGAAGTATCTAATACTTACACAGTAGAATAAAAACGAACAGCACACTGGTGAAGCCTGCGATGAGGTAGAACATGAGGCGCAGGTCGGCTGCTATCTCGGGGATGGTGCCCGATGCACGGACTAACATCGGAGGAAGCACGAAGCCAACGGCCACACCAAGCTGGGGAAGAAGACAACAATTTATGAACAAATACGTATATAGGAAAAATAAATAGAATCTGTAAGTTTGATGGTAGCACCTAAGTACATAGCGGAACGTAAGGTACTTTTTTAAGGGGGGAAAATCATCGGATGACTTCTCCCGCCTGGGTGAGGCGGGAGGGAGTGTCAGACTCTTATTGACTAAAAACCACCCCATTCCTACTACTGCCCTTCAATGCGGAGCTCCGGCAACCCTTTAAGTCTTCCGCGGCTTCGTATCGGCATCAGCCCTATAGGGCACCATCCGTGGTGGTCTGATGGCTCTTTGAGTCGCGCGTGGAACGCGATGCGCCGCACGCTCGGGTAACGTAGGTATTAGGATAGGCTTCATCACTCGGTGTTGTTTTGGTAGATCGCTAAATTGATTCTGTAAGTAGTAAGCTTGCAACTTCTGTATTTATTTTTTTTTTTTTTATTTATTTATTTCAAAAACAATTTACATTGTGTGTGAATTAAAGCTTAAAACTAATAACACAAGTAGTACAAAAAGAAAAAAAAACAACACATTTCCTAAATCGAATTACAATTAAAATTGTTGCTAAGATACTGATCTCATAACGACAAAATTTATGTGACAGAACTACATTAATACATTGATACACTGTTCATTATGTATACCCAATACAATACAATACAATATAATACATGTCATAAAATCAAATCTACTATCAATGTCAAAAAAAGATCAATATTAATACAAACTAGGTAATTATAATGTCAACAGAGAATTATCATCAACAATGTCAAAGAAAAGACAAAAACAAATAGGTACCCAAAAACAATGCAGAACCAAATCAATCATTAAATAACAATTCAAAATAAAAAAGTAATATTCAATATTCAAAATTAAAAAATCCAGTCCTGTGTTTTACAAGTTATTTACAGAGTAGAGGCATTTCTCCAACAGGAATGCCTTGAGCCTAGTTTTGAACGAGCTTGTGTACAGAATACTTTTTAATTCAAGTGGCAGTCTATTAAATATTTTAACTGCCTGGTACAGTGGACTATGCCCAACAATGTTAAGTGTTGGGATGAGTTTACTTTCTAAATCCTTCCTACGTGTTTTTTCTCTTAATGATCTTTCCTCAGCACTTTCAAAGCAATAAATGTATTTCTTTAAGGTTGACATGAGCACCAGTACGTATAGTCCAGGTACTGTGAGGATACCAAGCTCCTTATAATAGGGTTGACAGCTTTCTTGTTGGGGAATACGGACAATGGTTCTTATTGCTCTTTTTTGCAAAATGAACGCCCTTCGAACATTATAATTGTAACTTTTGCCCCAAAATTGTATGCCATACCGTAATCTAGACTCTATTAGCGCATAGTAAACTAATTTCAGAGCTTCTAAACTAACCTCATCTCTAAGAATTCTTAAAGCATAACACGCTGATGATATAGATGAGTCAAGTGCTACTAATTCTGCCTTCCAGTTCAATAACTCATCTATATGTATGCCCAGAAACTTTACCACCCTGACTAGCTCAACCCCAGCATTGTTCAGTTCGATGCTCATGCTATCCTTATTACGCGAAGTTGTTTTGAATAACATCACACCCGTTTTACTCGCATTTATTTTAAGTTTATTCTCAGTAAACCAGAAGTGAAAGACAGCCAGAGCCGCATTAACGGCATCACTTAGTGTATGAATGTCGGTTGCTGATACTATTGCATTTGTGTCATCCGCGAAAATTGTAAGTTTCAAATCAGGTAGTTTTTTATTTGAATAATTTATGAGATCGTTCGTGAAAAGAATAAACAGTAAAGGTCCCAAGACTGATCCTTGTGGCACACCGGATTTGATATTGAGCATGGGCGACTTGTATCCCTTTCTACAGCCATTCGATTGTATACCTTCGACTTCAACGAACATTTTTCTATTTTTCAAATATGAAGAGAAGAGTTGCAGGGCTTTACCTCTCAAACCGTAGTGCTCAAGCTTTTTGATCAGTAATTCGATGTCAATAGTGTCAAAAGCAGAGCTCAAGTCCAGAAAAATACCCGCAACTTTCATTTTACAATTAATTTTATCGATTACATCATTAACCAATGTATAGATTGCATCCACTGTGCCTACATTCTTCTGGTATCCAAATTGTCTTTTATGAATTACTTTATTTAAATTAAGATGAATAGTTAAGCGGTCTTTTAGGACTTTTTCGAAAATTTTTGAAATCGTTGGCAGCAAGGATATAGGCCTGTAGTTTCTTGCGTCCATTTTCGGGCCCTTTTTATGAATAGGGATAATCTTAGCTATCTTCAATTGTTCGGGAAAAATGGCTTCTAATATGCACTTATTATAAAAAGTTGAAAGTGGTTCTGCTAAAATTTGAAGATTTTGTTTAATTACCGAAATCGGAATGTCATCGTATCCGCAAGACTTCTTATTTTGCAAACTGGTAATGATTTTTGAAATTTCAATGGGAGTGGTAAGCTTAATATTCATATCATTATTTACTCTTTGCGTGCTTTGCCGAAGAAAAGACATCGCGTCTTGACTATGGTGATCAGTCGTAATAGACTTGTGATCAAATTGTTTCATCAAAATTTCGGCCACTTCCTGCGGGTTATCGACGATTTGGTTGTTTACTTTTAGTCTAATTTCTTTTTTACTGGCTCTGACCCTGTTCGTAGTTTTATTAATTATTTTCCAAATTTCCCTACTTGAATTAATTGATCTACTAATGTTTTTACTCAAAACAAGTTTTTTTGCCTTTGAAATAACTCTTCTGTAAATCCTAAGGTATTTATTTTTATAGTTTAAGATGCTAGTGTCAATTTGATTACCCCCAGTACATAAAAACCGTTTCATTTTACTTGAATTTTTCACACCCTTTGTCACCCATTTTAATTGAAAACTTTTTTTAAAATTAATTTTTTTCTCCCTTTTTAAAAAACTACTCTGAAAAATCCCATTAAATGTCCTCAAAAAAGTGTTGATTCCCATATCATTCCAGTTGTGTTCCAGTATTTGTTGCCTAAAAGTTATACCATTTCTACAATTAAAAACTCTCCTCTTTATAGTTATAACATTGTTATCATTAAGACTATCATTGACATTTTCCATTAAGAACTGGCCCAGTAGGGCCCCGTGTCCGTCCGATAAGCCATTGTGATCCACTTCGCATCGCTCTACACACTCACCAGGCAGATTTGTTAAGATATTGTCTATACAGGAATACGAGTTATTACGAATAAAAGTGTGAGCATCGAACATGTGTATAAAGTTGTAGCAAGCTAACAGGCTAATAAACTCAGTTCGTTTTTTACTTTCTGTAAGTAAATCAATATTAAAGTCTCCACAAATAATGCACTTCTTGTTAAATAAAAACTCCAATTGCTTTTCAAAGCTGTTTAAGAAAATGTGAAAATTCTTATCGTTAGGAACTCGGTAGCAACAACACAAATAGAGATCAGTAGTGAGATCTTTTATACAACAAACTTCAAAGCTATCCACCATATACAGATTATTTATTACATCTACATTTTCAACTTTTCTCTCTGTGTGTGCTAAAATTAGAGTACCGCCTCTTCGTTTTTGTTTCCTAGTATTATAGGACACCAAGTTATAATTTTCTAGCTTAAATAAAGGTGCACTTAGCTCGCTCAAAAAATGCTCACTTAAACATATGTAATCTACTTTCTTTTTAAGTGTTTGTAAATAAACTTCGAAATCATTTCTTTTATTAGTGATTCCACATACATTTTGATGGCAAACACATACACACTGAACGCTCGAGTTAACATTATTACATAGTTGAATCGTTGCATCTAAACTATTGACGAAAAAACTCTGACTCTTCAGTCTGTGTCTCGATACTTACAAGTTTGATTTGTGAAGAATCAAAATTTTTAGTGTTCCTGATAGCTTCATTCGCCTCAGTTGTAACTGAATGTTGTTTATAATACCTAATACTACTCGATTTGCTACAATGTACTAATTTGTTCACGTGTTTCTGGTAATTAACTAGGTAGTTTGTCTGTAGAATTTGTCGGTGAATTAGTCTACATGCATGCAATTTATTCCACCTCTTATAATTAGTTGAGTCTAGAGAAACAAAGGTTGAATTTTTACAATTATTACATATAAGTTTAAGTGTGTTGTTTAATACGTTCACATTTACATAATCATTGTTGAAAGTTTCTCCTACTAGAACGTTTGTTCTTTGCAATTGACACACGGTGTAGTGCAAGTACGTTTGAATTATTAAGGGATTTTTATCATTGGAACCTGCAAGTATAAGTACATAGTCGGACTTTGTATAGTCCCGGCAAGTAGATATACACGATTTCAGAACTTCATCTAATGTTGCAAATGGTTTTATATATGACGTGATCAAAAAGGAGTCGCCCAAGTAATCCTGCAGTATTTGTCTAATCCCATATCCGGTTTGATCTGCAAAAATTGTGACTCTATGCTTCTTCCCGTAATTATCATTAGCAGTCTCAGTACGATTCCCCACCTTATCCCTCCTTCCAGGGTTCGTAATGGATACACAAAAATCTTCAATAAGAGTATTTTTGCTCTGCGTATTACTGCAGGCGCTAAGTGATTTCTGTGTGTCATTTTTATTTCGAGCCACAGGAGCCTCAGAAATTTGGTTGAACATTATTTCATTATTATCACAATCACCAAGTGATTTCGGACTATGTGTCGTCGAAATATCAGTCTTATTATCCGTCGTCGGTAGTTCTTCAAAGCATCGGTATCCAGTGTTGGTAGCATTTTGCGACTCCAATAACTGTGGCTTTCGTTTTGAAGAACCCTTTTTGGTTATTAGTATTTTATTGTCTGAAACTGCAAGTGGGCTATTGTTCTCAAAACTATCAGTCAGTCGCCGTCTATTTTTCTTGCTTTTGCGTGTGCTTTTTCTTATTGATGTTAAGGGACTGTTACAAATTTGCTTTAACATTTCTATTTCTTGGGTTAGTTTACTAATTTGTCTTTTTAAATCGCTA